TCTGCTCGAGGGTAACATGTATGGCCCTTTAAAAGTTTTGGCGGGTAAAATTATTATCTCGGGAACCACGGAAACTACGAAGCTGAAATTTTAGGATAATAACTCCCTGCCCACGCAAGGCTTTGTAGGCTCAAATTCAGCGTTCTCGCGCTCTTGGGTATCAGCTACGGCCTTGTGAAAATTTTGGCGAGGAAATTATTATCTCAGGAACCATAAAAGCCAAGAAGCTGTAGTTTTGCATTAGTGCCGGTGCGTGACATTTCGTTTGTCTGTGCGTGAATTTTTAACTATTTTTCAACGTTTCCACTGTTTTTGCACAGACTAAAGTACAAAGCAGTGAAAATCATTAACAGGCAATCGTTTTGTGGACAAATTGCACAAAACGTATAATCGCACTGGATAGTCTGGTGAACGTTGCTATTTATATGGAAAAATATCGTGATCAGCGTGAAGAAGTAAGTGCTGTGATGCCAAACTATAGGAACACCTAACCATTCCAAAAAAAGGGCTTTCGTTGAGCGCTCTTTGTGCCTTACCTTGCAGAAGATTAATGCTTTTATTTTAGCCCAACATTATGATTTGGTGCTAAATGGTGTGGAGCTCGGTGGTGGTTCGATTCGAATTCACAAGGAGGACATTCAACGGCACGTATTGACAAACATACTTGGCGAATCTCCAATCGATCTTGTACGTCACCTTATTTGGGCAATTATTTGCCATTTCTCGATTTTTTTTTTTAAAATATTCGTATGTTTTGACAGCAGATTCGTCATGAGGGAAAAGGGGAGTTGGTTGAGCGGAACTGTTCTAAACAGATCCTGCGCATCCGCTAGGAATGCTTTTATCGTTATGAAGATTTTTAGTGCACAAGTGAATATGTTTTAGGACCATATGCTTGTTGCCCTGTCTTATGGTGCTCCTCCTCATGGTGGTTTTGCAATTGGCCTCGATCGATATATGGCACTGCTGGTAGGACGTGGAGATTCCAGTGTGCCGATACGGGAAGTTATTGCTTTTCCGAAGAGCAGAGAGGGTAATGATGCCTTGACGAAATGTCCTGCCGAATTAACTCCTCAGCAATTGCAAAGGTTACTTTTGAATCAGAGTCAGAAGTGAAAAGCCCTTCACGTTTACTTTTTATGAGAAGCGGAGATGTTCGAAAATTAAGTGCCAAGGGCAGTCACCTGCTGGCTTTACCAACTTACCATTGAAACGAATGAAAAAATCGTGGATAGTTCGGGGTTATTCCACTGGTAAATTCTAATTTTTAACATGCTTTTAAACGCTTCTGCGAGATATTTACTTTTTAAGATCTCATAATGGTCGCTTTTTAGTTTCCTGAACGACTTTCTGCTCTTTAACTAGTGCCATGTTGAGGGAACTCCCAGAACGAATTTTTGAGTGTCTTTTTGCACATTTATGTAAATGCAAAAACGCATGTTTACGGTAAGTTGTCGATGTGAGTGTTCGCATCTCTGTCGCCCACTTTCGACTCAGCAACCAGTGAGGCTAGGAAGCTAAAATTTTTGGAGCATATAAAATGACTCCAGCGATCTCAGTATATCACGAAATAGTGCAAAAATGCATGTTCGCTGGCCAGCCTGGTGCGCATCGCAGTTGATTCAAGGTCGTTTGCAGCATATAATTTTATGCGTTTTGTGCATTTATACAAATGCGAAAAAGTACAATGTAATGACCTTCGGTGTGTGTGTGTGTGTTTGTGTGTACGAATGTATATTTGTGTTCGTCTGTTCGGGCATTCCATATCGGCAATAAAGTAAGCTCTGGTGCTGGAATTTTGCCGGTGAGTTCCCTGACTATGTTTGACCCCAAAAACATAGTACTAACTTTCTTGCACGCCTGAGTCTCACATTCGGACATGTGAAAGTTTTGGCTGAAAAAACACTAAATTGGGGAGCAGGACAGCTGGACCACTTCGAATGAACGACCAGCCACCGAAACTAATTCATTTTCCTTCTGAATGTAAAACAACAACCATTCATGCTATCAGTGACCTGACTGCTTCAAATTTAACGCAAAAACACATGATCACACCGGCAAGCCTAGTGCATCGCCACCTAGGTTAGAGTACGTGACTGGAATGTCTGCGTAAAAATACTGCAAAATTTCT